CCTGGTCCCTAGGTTGCAAGTATTTGACATTCTCCTGGTCCCACATGTGTTTGACATTCTCCTGGTCCTACAGTTCTTAGTGTTTGACATCCCCCTGTTCCTCCAGTTGTAAGTATTTGACATCCTGCTAGTCCCTCAGTTATAAGTGTTTGGCATCCTCCTTGTCCTACAGTTGTCAGTGTTTGACATCCCCCTGTTCCTACAGTTGTAAGTATTTGACATCCTGCTAGTCCCTCAGTTATAAGTGTTTGGCATCCTCCTTGTCCTACAGTTGTCAGTGTTTGACATCCCCCTGTTCCTACAGTTGTAAGTATTTGACATCCTGCTAGTCCCTCAGTTATAAGTGTTTGACATCCTCCTTGTCCTACAGTTGTAAGTGTTTGACATTCTCCTGTTCCTACAGTTGTAAGTGTTTGACATCCCCCTGTTCCTACAGTTGTAAGTATTTGACATCCTCCTAGTCCCTCAGTTATAAGTGTTTGGCATCCTCCTTGTCCTACAGTTGTCAGTGTTTGACATCCCCCTGTTCCTACAGTTGTAAGTATTTGACATCCTGCTAGTCCCTCAGTTATAAGTGTTTGGCATCCTCCTTGTCCTACAGTTGTCAGTGTTTGACATCCCCCTGTTCCTACAGTTGTAAGTTTTTGACATCCTTGTTGTCCTACAGTTGTTAGTATTTGACATTCTTCTGGTCCTATAGTTGTATGTGTTTTACATTCTCCTGGTCCTACAGTTGTTAGTGTTTGGTATCCTCCTGGTCCTACAGTTGTAAGTGTTTGACATCCTTGTTGACCTGCAGTTGTAAGTGTTTGAGATCCTTGTTGTCCTATAGTTGTTAGAATTTGACATCCTCCTGGTCCCACAGTTGTTAGTGTTTGACATCCTCCTGGTCCCTAGGGTGCAAGTATTTGACATTCTCCTGGTCCCACATGTGTTTGACATTCGCCTGGTCCTACAGTTGTTAGTGTTTGGCATCCTCCTGGTCCCTAGGTTGCAAGTGTTTGACATCCTCCTGGTCCCACAGTTGTAAGAGTTTGGCATCCTCCTGATCCCACAATTTTAAGTGTTTGACATCCTTCTGGTCACACAGTTGTAAGTGTTTGACATTCTCCTGGTCCCACAGTTGTAAATGTTTGACATTCTCCTGGTCCTACAGTTCTTAGTGTTTGACATCCCCCTGTTCCTACAGTTGTAAGTCTTTGACATCCTCCTAGTCCCTCAGTTATAAGTGTTTGACATCCTCCTTGTCCTACAGTTGTAAGTGTTTGACATTCTCCTGGTCCCACAGTTGTAAATGTTTGACATTCTCCTGGTCCTACATTTATAAGTGTTTGACATCCTTCTGGTCCCATAATTTTAAGTGTAGTGTTTGACATTCTCCTTGTCCTACAGTTGTTAGTGTTTGACATCCCCCTGTTCCTTCAGTTGTAAGTATTTGACATCCTGCTAGTCCCTCAGTTATAAGTGTTTGACATCCTCCTTGTCCTACGGTTGTAAGTGTTTGACATCCCCCTGTTCCTACAGTTGTAAGTCTTTGACATCCTCCTAGTCCCTCAGTTATAAGTGTTTGACATCCTCCTTGTCCTACAGTTGTAAGTGTTTGACATCCTTGTTGACCTGCAGTTGTAAGTGTTTGACATCCTTGTTGTCCTATAGTTGTTAGTATTTGACATCCTCCTGGTCCCACAGTTGTAAGTGTTTGGCATCCTCCTGATCCCACAATTTTAAGTGTTTGACATCCTTCTGGTCCCACAGTTGTAAGTGTTTGGCATCCTGCTGGTCCCACAATTTTAAGTGTTTGATATCCTTCTGGTCCCACAGTTGTAAGTGTTTGACATTCTCCTGGTCCCACAGTTGTAAGTGTTTGACATTCTCCTGGTCCTACAGTTGTAAGTGTTTGACATTCTCCTGTTCCTACAGTTGTAAGTGTTTGACATCCTCCTGGTCCCACAGTTGTAAGTGTTTGACATTCTCCTGGTCCCACATTTGTAAGTGTTTGACATTCTCCTGGTCCTACAGTTGTAAGTGTTTGACATCCTCCTGGTCCCACAGTTGTAAGTGTTTGACATTCTCCTGGTATTTGTTAGTGTTTGACATTCTCCTGGTCCTACAGTTGTAAGTGTTTGACATCCTCCTGGTCCCACAGTTGTAAGTGTTTGACATTCTCCTGGTCCCACATTTGTAAGTGTTTGACATCCTCCTAGTCCCTCAGTTATAAGTGTTTGACATCCTACTTGTCCTACAGTTGTAAGTGTTTGACATCCCCCTTTTCCTACAGTTGTAAGTTTTTGACATCCTTGTTGTCCTACAGTTGTTAGTATTTGACATTCTTCTGGTCCTACACTTGTAAATGTTTGACATCCTTGTTGATCTGCAGTTGTAAGTGTTTGACATCCTTCTGGTCCCTAGGTTGCAAGTGTTTGACATTCTCCTGGTCCCTTTGACATCCTTCTGGTCCTACCGTTGTAGGTGTTTGACATTCTTCTGGTCCCACAGGTGTAAGTGTTTGACATCCTCCTGGTCCCACAGTTGTAAGTGTTTGACATCCTTCTGGTCCCACCGTTGTAGGTGTTTGACATTCTCCTGGTCCCACATTTGCAAGTGTTTGACATTCTCCTGGTCCTACAGTTGTTAGTGTTTGACATTCTCCTGGTCCCACATTTGTAAGTGTTTGACATCCTCCTGGTCCTACTGTTGTTAGTGTTTGGCATCCTTCTGGTCCCACAGTTGTAAGTGTTTGACATTCTCCTGGTCCTACAGTTGTAAGTGTTTGACATCCTCCTGGTCCTGCAGTTATAAGTGTTTGACATCCTTGTTGTCCTGCAGTTGTAATTGTTTGGCATCCTTCTGGTCCCACAGTTGTTAGTGTTTGACATCCTTCTGGTCACATCGTTGTAAGTGTTTGACATCCTCCTTGTTCTACAGTTGTTAGTATTTGACATCCTCCTGGTCCTACAGTTGTAAATGTTTGACATTCTCCTGGTCCCACAGTTGTAAGTGTTTGGCATCCTTCTGGTCCCACGGTTGTAAGTGTTTGACATCCTTCTGGTCCCACAATTTTAAGTGTTTGACATTCTCCTGGTCCTACAGTTATAAGTGTTTGACATCCTTCTGGTCCCACAGTTGTAAGTGTTTGACATGCTTCTGGTCCCACAGTTGTAAGTGTTTGACATCCTTCTGGTCCCACATTTGTAAGTGTTTGATATCCTCCTGGTCTTACAGTTGTTAGTGTTTGACATCCTTCTGGTCCCACACTTTTAAGTGTTTGACATCCTTCTGGTCCCACAATTTTAAGTGTTTGACATCCTTCTGGTCCCACAATTTTAAGTGTTTGACATCCTTCTGGTCCCACAGTTGTAAGTGTTTGACATTCTTCTGGTCCCACATTTGTAAGTGTTTGACATCCTTCTGGTCCCACAGTTGTTAGTGTTTGACATCCTTCTGGTCCCACAATTTTAAGTGCTTGGCATCCTTCTGGTCCTATGAGTTGTAAGTGTTTGCCATCCTTCTGGTCCCACAGTTGTTATTGTTTGACATCCTTCTGGTCCCACAGTTGTAAGTGTTTGACATCCTTCTGGTCCCACAATTTTAAGTGTTTGGCATCCTTCTGGTCCTATGAGTTGTAAGTGTTTGACATCCTTCTGGTCCCACAGTTGTAAGTGTTTGACATTCTCCTGGTCTTACAGTTGTTAGTGTTTGACATCCTTCTGGTCCCACAATTTTAAGTGTTTGACATCCTTCTGGTCCCACAAATTTAAGTGTTTGGCATCCTTCTGGTCCCACAGTTGTAAGTGTTTGACATCCTTCTGGTCCCACAGTTGTTAGTGTTTGGCATCCTCCTGGTCTTACAGTTGTTAGTGTTTGACATCCTCCTGGTCCTGCAGTTATAAGTGTTTGACATCCTTGTTGTCCTGCAGTTGTAAGTGTTTGACAATTCCTTGTTGTCCTATAGTTGTTAGTGTTTGACATTCTCCTGTTCTTACAGTTGTAAGTGTTTGACATCCTTCTTGTCATACAGTTGTTAGTGTTTGACATCCTCCTGGTCTTACAGTTATAAGTGTTTGACATCCTCCTTGTCCTATAGTTGTAAGTGTTTGGCATCCTCCTGGTCCTACAGTTTTAAGTGTTTGACATGTTTGGCCTTGTTTGAGGTCAATTTTTTAACAGTTTTTTTTTTATTACACTGGTTTAATTTTGATAGAATATATGTAGACTGAAAGATATCACCAAAAAGGCAAATATGTGCATAGTTGAGCATCGCTTACGTTTTCAAGCTTGCAGACATCTTTAGGCAATAAATTTTAATGTCTGTAAGTTTATATGTATATTAAGACTACATTGAATTATATTGGTGTGGATATAGAGGCAGCAATGCCTGTGTCCGCTAATATCCTATTAAAATCCTATCAGATTACTTTTATTTTAAGTACATGTGTACCTGGGTTTGTTTCATGATATTCTCTGTTGTCCACAGTATTGCTCTCCTGATCAGTTATGCCTTGGCTGGAAGTGAGGCGTATGCTGAACTTTTAGGTGTAAAGTAAGTAGCAACATCACAGCCCAGGTTTTAAACCCTCATCAGCTGAACAACAACTCTACACACAGTAGGTTTTCAAAAGCCTTTAATATTCCATAATAAAAATGCAGATTTATGGATTCAGAATGATCGTTTTATTGCAGAAAAATGGATGTCATAGAGGAATTATTTAGTACAGTATTTGAAAGGATCAAGGTGCCACCAAAATATTCTATGATAGAGAAGTGCCCTTGGATTGGAGGTGGGCCGACCTATATGTAATAGGCAGAGCTATAAAATAAAGATTTACAGAGTTTTAATTTCCTCCGTTTCGCCACAGTTTAACTTTCTCCGTTTCGCCACAGTTTAACTTTCTCCGTTTAGCTACAGTTTAACTTTCTCCGTTTTCGCCACAGTTTAACTTTCTCCGTTTTCACCACAGTTTAACTTTCTCCTTTTCTCCACAGTTTAACTTTCTTCGTTTCCCCGCAGTTTAACTTTTTCCGTATAGCCACAGTTTAACTTTCTCCGTTTTCGCCACAGTTTAACTTTCTCCATTTTCGCCACAGTTTAACTTCCTCCGTTTCCCCACAGTTTAACTTTCTCCGTTTCGCCACAGTTTAACTTTCTTCATTTCCCCCTCCACAACAATGGTGATTTATCATGACAACGAATATTAGTTTACAGCATATGTGTACAATGTGGTAATTTCATGTGGAGGGCAAACTTAACATAGGGTAATTATGGATTTTACTGGTGAAGGGCAAATATTTGACTGGGGGACAGTTTTACCGGTAAAAAGTATGTAAATTGACATTGCATTAAGATGTTTTACTTTAAAAATTAAATACCTTAGAGTTATACCAATTACGCAAAACCTCTAACAAGCTTTTGAAAGTACAAGTATATACAGAGAGGAAATGGGATAATTAATTTACCACATCATGATCGGATATGGTTTTCTTCCCGACAGATATATTTATGTGATCCCCGTATTTGTGTGGGTTCTCACACTCGCAATCGTCTTTGCCATGAGATTTATCCAGCCAGTCGTCTCCGTGTTCACCTTCTTCAAAGGATCTCTCCTACTGGGAACTGTAAGTTCTACGAATATGGTTAAAATACAATTCTCAAGTCATTTACCATCCTAACAATTTCTAAAGTATTTTCTTGTCGAATTTCAGTACATATAACACTTACAGCAAGTATCAGTATTGATTTGTTTGGTTTGCAAAATATGATACTTTGATATGATAAATAAGAAAATCTGGAGTGATATGATATTAAGAGCTCATACATTAATCCAACTACAACAGTAAGTGTGATTTGTATGCCCTATCCACCATCATTTCTCCTCCTGACACATCGTATTTCCTGAATCAAAATGCAAGGTAGGTACCAACATTTCAATTTCTGTTTTGAGTTTGTTTTCATGGGAATGTGTCGGACAAAGAATTTTAACAAGCACATTTAAAAGATTTGTATGAAACCTACCATAAAAATATTTCTATCATCTTGAAACAAAAATTAAAAACAAAAATTTAATTATTACGGTAAAAGAAATGATAAGTTCTCTTACATTATATGTTCTTGCTTTTTTCGGATTGAAGCAGAACAGATTGTCTAGCCTTACAGTGACATGTTCAAATCTTTCTTTTCTTTTTGTATTCATATCTTGTCTGTGAATTGTATGTCTATTTTGATCAACTGTTGAGTAACTGTAACCTACTTTTTATATTTTTAAATTTTGTCATTGTAGGTGATATTTACTTTTTATGTCGGGTCAGAGGTCAACAGAGAAATTCACAATGACTTCAGATCAATTGGAGCCCCGTTCCTGATGGGCACCGTTGCCCTGGGTAACATTATTTTCTGATTGGACTTTATTAATTCAAATTATTTTTAGTTTGACATGTTGTTCTATGAATGCTGTGATTATAATTAAGTATTGAACTACATTTTAGTTGTACGTGTACAGTAATCATATACCAGTATAGTAGATATAATAAGAAGTAGTTTATTCCAAGTTAGCACTCCCTTAAATTTATTACACACTTTTGTCATTAGGAAGTCTTGCATGTTTCAAGCGAATAATTAGAATTCCTTATAGATTTGGCGAAATGGAAAGCTTGGTAACATTGGTTATTATACCCTCGAATAGTGGGTCCCTGCAGTATAAGAAGGTTTACTGTATACCAATATGAAAAAGGATAAATGAATTCTATTGATATTTTTTTCTGATTTCCTGTCACCAGGGGGCGTGATAAACACTATGCCATTGATGTACAGTAAAATCAGTCCTGTACCCAATCAGGTGAGTTACTTCCCTTTAAGTGAAAATACATGTACATTTAGGGTACATTCGTGTATGCATAGCCGGTTGACACGGTTGAACCGGTTGAACCTGTAAAAAAAAAAACAGGTACAAATCTGAACCGAGGCTGACCTTAGGAAAATTTGGCACGTGTAGATTGAGGGGTCCAGACGTACCTGACCGAAACTAAACTGCTGACTATTGCTAGTTTGCATTATTTTTTTCTAAAACAATGTCAAACCACATCTAGTTTTTAAGATAAGTTATGTAATTCAGTGGATGTGTGAGGGAAAGGCATACTATTCTTGATACATTGTTTTTTATCCTCCGAAACTGTGCATTTTTAGCTCTGCTTATTGAACGGTCCAAGTGCGTTCATTTATCGTGGAATATTTCTGCACCACACGTACCGTTTCAACCGGTATATGCGAATGTAGCCTTATTCCAGTTTGTTTGTGGTGTTTGTTTCAAAAAATGGCTTGTCCAGCTAGGAGTGAGTATGTGATCAGAATCAAAACAGTCTTACAGAAGAATTAATTTGGAATAATTAGCCAAGCTGTCTGCCTCAGGATGCTTTTTCATAATTTCATTATATGTCAATATATATATCACACAATATCATCAGGCAATCTTAAGCTTATTACTCACTATGAGTAAATTAAAAAGTATGTAGTCATAATACTCAAGACAAATACATTTTATCAGATTTATTTTAATTAAATTAGTGGTTAAATGTTCATTTGTCTTCTTGTCCAGTATATACTAGCGGTAGACATGTACATTGTCTTCCAAAAATAACTAACATTCCAAATCAGCAATTTTGTAAAAATATCTTAAAGTTTAAATTTCGAGCATAATGAGCTACATGTGTAAACAACTGTAATAGCATGTTAGTTTTATCTTTTAGGTGAAGTATTTCCGCCTATCTGTGATTTCTGGTTTATTGACATGTACAGTGTTAAATGTGTTATGGTATGTATACAAAGCATTAGTTTTTGATAACTCACTATATTTTGGGAATTGATCGTAACTGTATAGAGACCATATTTATTTCTGATTTTATTTACCAGTACAATGTATATAAAACATAGTATTCAAGTTTATCATATATTTATATTATGTTATTTATATACCTGTTTCACATTAATCTATGTAGACAGGAAAACTGTGTCTCTAAACTAAAACAAAAACATCATTCTATTTGGTTTTACCTTTTCAATTTGACATTTATGTTTCAGGTGCTGGGCAGTGCTGGACATTGTCCCTCAATTAGCTGTTTCACCTTGTAGTACAAATGAGACATTGTCTGTACAGCGACAGTTGCTGGATAATAGCCAGAACTGCAAAAACTCTATATCACTGGAAAGGTAAGTAATTCCTTCAGGGAGACATGTCCTATTTATTACCTGCCCAGTTCTTTTATCCGTGACTGAGATTTTTTCTTCAAATAAACTGAAAATAAGCCTGCCTGATTTCATAAGTTCTGTTATGACAATGTTTGGTTTATATTCAAAAAGATTCATCAATTTGGAAATATGTAATATCAAAGACTTATTTTGTACACCAACTATAATTACAAATAATGTACATATTAAACGTATCACAACATTTCATGACCCACTGGTCCCTCTGTCAAGATAAAATGCGTTGAACGTTTCAAGACTGACTGGTACCTTTATCAAGTTAAAAAGTGTTGCAATATGTCTTGAAATGTTGCGACACATTTAATATGTACATTGTTTGTGTATAAAGTAAACCTTTGATGTTATCTTCTGATCTACAAAGTATACTTTATCTATCAGTATATATTCAATCTACCTTTTTATGGAAAATTAAGGACACCTAAATTTGTAGTGGCCTTAGAAGTGAAAATATGGCTCAAAGAAAGTTTACTTGAAATTTTTTAGGGTTTTAAAAATACCATTTAGGTGATTGAAAATATAATGTCCTTAACAAAAATACCATTTTGGTGATTGAATATAATATCCTTAACTATTTAAAAAACATAAAAAATAAGGACATTAAAAAAATCTATATCCTTGAAAATATACAATTTTAGCATCTCTGAAATTTAATGAAAAATCATGTGCATTTTGAAAAATTCAAGGCACAAATCATACAAGATATACTTGAAATAATGTTCAGATCATTTTGTAACCTACCAAAGTCTAAGTGATTCAAGCAATATCATCATGGATTCAGAAAAAAATATGTGAAACAAAGTTAACCTTTTCCTTTCACTTTGGTCAAATTCAGAAATTTACCAATATGTTGTAGATCTGCAGCGGTTGGAGAAATCTCAACTATACCCCTGACCAAAGTGAGTAGGACTGTTACTTATTAGTCGTCTATGTCACTGTTCTGAATCAAGACAAGCGCCGATGATCAGTTTCAGATATCAGAGAAAGTCTCAAATTTAATTAAAACATTCGTTTTATATATCTTACATTGAAATTGGAATTAATTGCTGAATTTCCTAAAACGAAATTGTGACATATTGACATGTTAGCAAATGATTATCAGAACAAAGGAATATAAACAGTTCAAAGCCATTAGAAAGAAATGTTGAAATTAAAAACTGTACTATGAAAGATGTTGTTTTATGTACTGTTAAGAACTTTCCTGATAAACATCAGATACTGTAATAATGGTACTACTTATTGATAAACATCAGATACTGTAATAATGGTACTACTTATTGATAAATATCAGATACTGTAATAATGGTACTACTTATTGATAAATATCAGATACTGTAATAATGGTACTACTTATTGATAAATATCAGATACTGTAATAATGGTACTACTTATTGATAAATATCAGATACTGTAATAATGGTACTACTTATTGATAAATATCAGATACTGTAATAATGGTACTACTTATTGATAAATATCAGATACTGTAATAATGGTACTACTTATTGATAAATATCAGATACTGTAATAATGGTACTACTTATTGATAAATATCAGATACTGTAATAATGGTACTACTTATTGATAAATATCAGATACTGTAATAATGGTACTACTTATTGATAAATATCAGATACTGTAATAATGGTACTACTTATTGATAAATATCAGATACTGTAATAATGGTACTACTTATTGATAAATATCAGATACTGTAATAATGGTACTACTTATTGATAAATNCACAGGGCCCGGTGTACAGTGTATGTGACATTTGATTCACAGAAATTGTTACAGGGTCTCGTGTGTGACATTTGAGTCACAGACTATATGTTACAGGGTCTCATGCGTGACATTTGAGTCACAGACTATATGTTACAGGGTCTCGTGCGTGTCATTAGAGTCACACACTATATGTTATAGGGTCTCGTGCATGACATTAGAGTCACAGACTATATGATACAGGGTCTCGTGCGTGACATTAGAGTCACAGACTATATGTTACAGGGGCTCGTGTGTGACATTTGAGACACAGAAATTGTTACAGGGTCTCGTGCATGACATTTGAGTCACAGACTATATGTTACAGGGTCTCGTGTGTGACATTTGAGTCAAAGATTATATGTTACAGGGTCTCGTGTGTGACATTTGAGACACAGAAATTGTTACAGGGTCTCGTGCATGACATTTGAGTCACAGACTATATGTTACAGGGTCTCGTGTGTGACATCTGAGTCAGAATATGTCACAGGGTCTCGTGCGTGACATTTGAGTCAGAGAATATGTTACAGGGTCTCGTGTGTGACATTTGAGTCAGAATATGTTACAGGGTCTCGTGTGTGACATTTGAGTCAGAATATGTCACAGGGTCTCGTGCGTGACATTTGAGTCAAAGATTATATGTTACAGGGTCTCGTGTGTGACATTTGAGTCAGAATATGTTACAGGGTCTCGTGCGTGACATTTGAGTCAGAGAATATGTTACAGGGTCTCGTGCGTGACATTTGAGTCACAGACTTTATGTTACAGGGTCTCGTGCATGACATTAGAGTCACAGACTATATGTTACAGGGTCTCATGTGTGACATTAGAGTCACAGACTATATGTTACAGGGTCTCGTGTGGGACATTAGAGTCACAGACTATATGTTACAGGGCCTCGTGCGTGACATTAGAGTCACAGACTATATGTTACAGGGCCTCGTGCGTGACATTAGAGTCACAGACTATATGCTACAGGGTCTCGTGCGTGACATTAGAGTCACAGACTATATGCTACAGGGTCTCGTGCGTGACATTAGAGTCACAGACTATATGTTACAGGGTCTCGTGCATGACATTAGAGTCACAGACTATATGTTAAAGGGTCTCGTGCGTGACATTTGAGTCACAGACTATAATACAGCGTCTTGTGTGTGACATTTGAGCCACAGACTATATGTTAAAGGGTCTTGTGTGTGACATTTGAGTCACAGACTATAATACAGCGTCTTGTGCGTGACTTTTGAGTCAAAGACTTTAATACAGGGTCTCATGTGTGACATTTGAGCCACAGACTATAATACAGGGTCTCGTGCGTGACATTTGAGTCACAGACTATATGTTACAGGGTCTCGTGTGTGACATTTGAGTCACAGACTATATGTTACAGGGTCCTGTGCGTGACATTTGAGTCACAGAATATGTTACATGGTCTCGTGTGTGACATTTAAGCCACATTCTATATGTTAAAGGGTCTTGTGTGTGACATTTGAGCCACAGACTATAATACAGCGTCTTGTGTGTGACATTTGAGTCAAATACTTTAATACAGGGTCTGGTGCGTGACATTTGAGTCAAAGACTTTAATACAGGGTCTTGTGTGTGACATTTGAGCCACAGACTATATGTTAAAGGGTCTCGTGCGTGACATTTGAGTCACAGACTATATGTTACAGGGTCTCGTGCAGGCGCGTAGCTACCATGTAAGCCAATAAGCCCGGGCTTGCACATGATTTTGACAAGTATAGGTTTTCATGACCTTATTTTTTCTTGCTGATACTATAAAGTGGAGTTTCAGTTTTGAATATATAGTATACATATGTAATTCCTCAGATATGATACCTTGTTAATAGTTAGTACAAAAATGTATGAAGTTTAGATATGTCCATTGCATTAATGGACAGTTCCAAGCGGAACTAAACTGCTCGATTGAGTAAATTGAGAAACTCACGCCTGGCGCAAACGACTCCGAGTATGGCACAGTGGACACAGACAATCAATGTGGTTTTTTTTATGAAAATATCAATTTGGGGCAAGTTCGGCCCCTTTTGCCGGGGCACATTCAGCCACCCCGAATGCAACTGTTATTGTGCCAAGTGACGTCACTATTGATAACGTCACCCAATTGACCACAAAAATAATATTTTTACGTCGCAAAAATTAAGTATTTTTTCTTTGTATTCACTGATTTGTTCTGGACTTAATTTCCAACAGAATTGAATGAAATTCCATATGTAACAGAGCGCATGATTAATTAAATATAAATCACTACCTCCGCATGGGATCGAACCCGGGACCTCTGGCTTACTAGTCTAACGCTCAACCGATCGAGCTAAAGAGAAGTTCTCTATAGCCGAGCGATATATTGCGGCTAGTATTTACCAGGGTTACATACTCCCCCTTCCAGGAAAGAACTCGTCCTCGAGTTTTTCCAGGGGTAACAGCGATGCTTGTGGAGCAAGGCCGAGTATTTTTCCCGGGTCCCTACGTGGGCGCCAATGTAACAGAGCGCATGATTAATTAAATATAAATCACTACCTCTGCATGGGATCGAACCCGGGACCTCTGGCTTACTAGTCTAACGCTCAATCGATCGAGTTAAAGAGAAGTTCTCTATAGCCGAGCGATATATTGCGGCTAGTATTTACCAGGGTTACATATACACTTATTAGTAAATTGTCTTCTCTATCCTTCATGCCATACTTGCCCTTGTAGGGGCCGGATTTGCCTCAGGGCGGGGCTCGTCCGGCCCCCAACTCTCTCGACCTAAAAAGTCCAATAATTCCCAAAATATGGTCTTGTTTACTATCACATTAGTTTATGAAAGACAATACATTTCTTTTCTAAATGACATATATAAATATGCATTTCAACAGTATAGTACATGCCTTCCACAACGTCTTGAAAAAAGAAAAGGGGCCGTGTTTGTATTATACATGTGTAGGGGAGACCGGGGCAAGTCCGGCCCCTTTTTTAAAACTATATTATAGTTTACAACATATCATTATATCAGACATCAGGACGTGGGAAATTGCTCCTGAGACGTTCTAGAAAACAAAATTTGCATGGGGAGACCCCCAGACCCCCCTTACGGGAAAGGGAAGACCCACTCCCGTACCCTCCCCCTGCTCGTGCTTCGTGGGGGGGGGGGGGCTGCCTTCGGCAACCCCATGTCGGGGCTTACACATGGTAAAGGGGCTAGCTACGCGCCTGTCGTGCGTGACATATGAGTCACAGAATATGTTACAGAGTCTCTTGCATGACATTTGAGTCACAGGCTATCTTTCAGTAACTCTTGCGGGACATTTGAGTCAAAAACTTTAATACAGGGTCTCATGCTTGGATGACATTTGATTTGAGTCAAAAACTTTAATACATGGTCTCATGCTTGGATGACATTTGATTTGAGTCAAAGACTTTAATACAGGGTCTCATGCGTGACATTTGAGTCACGGACTCTATGTTGCAGCGTCTCGTGCGGGACATTTGAGTCAAAAACTTTAATACAGGGTCTCGTGCTTGGATGACATTTGATTTGAGTCAAAGACTTTAATACAGGGTCTCGTGCGTGACATATGAGTCACAGGCTATCTTTCAGTAATTGTGTTTTGGACATTTTAATCACAGCATTTGACAAGGAGCGAGGGAGATGTGTTGCTGATCTTGATTTGATCTTGATTCTTTCACGTTACAACATAAATATCAGTTTAGAGACGGAAGATCCAAACTTGGTCCAGGTCTAGCTGCTTTATCCCACTTCTTTAACAGTTGTTTAAATGATGGTTAAAAGTTATACTTTTAATTTGCCCATCTTGAAAAAAAATCTGATAAGAGAGAGATATTTATTTTACCTTGTTACAACACTTTCTTTAAACCAAATTTTTTGTTCTTGTGTTTGTTTGACAGATAATAGAGGAGAAATACCCCTCCTTTTACTATGTGGCTATACTGGTAGAGATCTTTATAGTGGTCAGTATAACCGTCTCATTCCTGACTATTGGTGCAGTTCTACATCACACATGTAAGTACAGCCAGACATATCACACATGTAAGTACATCCAGACATATATCACACATGTAAGTACAGCCAGACAAATCACACATGTAAGTACAGCCAGACATATCTCACATGTAAGTACAGCCAGACATATCTCACATGTAAGTACAGCCAGACATATCACACATGTAAGAACAGCCAGACATATCACACATGTAAGTACAGCCAGACATTGATCACACATGTAAGTACAGCCAGACATATCACACATGTAAGAACAGCCAGACATATCCCACATGTAAGTACCGCCAGACATATCACAACTGTAAGAACAGCCATACATATCACACATGTAAGTACAGCCAGACATATCACACATGTAAATACAGCCAGACATATCACACATGTAAGTACAGCGAGACATATCACACATGTAAGTACAGCCAGACATATCTCACATGTAAGTACAGCCAGACATATCACACATGTAAGTACAGCCAGCCATATCACACATGTAAGTACAGCCAGACATACCACACATGTAAGTAAAGCCAGACATATCACAAATGTAAGTATAGCCAGACATATCACACATGTAAGTACAGACAGACATATCACACATGTAAGTACAGCGAGACATATCCCACATGTAAGTACCGCCAGACATATCTCACATGTAAGTACAGCCAGACATATAACACATGTAAGTACAGCCAGACATATCACACCTGAAAGTACAGCCATACATATCACCCATGTAAGTACAGCCAGACATATCTCACATGTAAGTACAGCCAGACATACCACACATGTAAGTACAGCCAGACATATCACATGTAAGTACAGCCAGACATATAATACATGTAAGTACAGCCACGCATATCACACATGTAAGTACAGCCAGACATATAATATATGTAAGTACAGCCGGACATATAATACATGTAAGTTCAGCCAGACATATCACACATGTAAGTACAGCAAGACATATAATACATGTAAGTACAGCCAGACATACCACACATGTAGGTACAGCCAGACATATAATACATGTAAGAACAGCCAGACATATCACACATGTAAGTACAGACAGACATATCACACATGTAAGTACAGCGAGACATATCCCACATGTAAGTACAGCCAGACATATCTCACAGGTAAGTACAGCCAGACATATCACACATGTAAGTACAGACAGACATATCACACATGTAAGTACAGCGAGACATATCACACATGAAAGTACAGCCAGACATATCTCACATGTAAGTACAGCCAGACATACCACACATGTAAGTACAGCCAGACATATAATATATGTAAGTACAGCCGGACATATAATACATGTAAGTTCAGCCAGACATATCACACATGTAAGTACAGCGAGCCATATCAAACATGTAAGTACAGCCAGACATATAACACATGTAAGTACAGCCAGACATATCACACAAGTAAGTACAGCCAGACATATCACACATGTAAATACAGCCAGACATATCACACATGTAAGTACAGCAAGACATATAATACATGTAAGTACAGCCAGACATACCACACATGTAAGTACAGCCAGACATATCACAAATGTAAGTACAGCCAGACATATAATATATGTAAGTACAGCCAGACATATAATACATGTAAGTTCAGCCAGACATATCACACATGTAAGTACAGCCAGACATATCACATATGTAAGTACAGCCAGACATATCACACATGTAAATACAGCCAGACATATCACACATGTAAGTACAGCCACATGTAAGTACAGCCAGACAAATCACACATGTAAGTACAGCCAGACATATCCCACATGTAAGTACAGCCAGACATATCACACATATAAGTACAGCCAGACATATCACCCATGTAAATACAGCCAGACATATCACACATGTAAGTACAGCCATACAAATCACACATGTAAGTACAGCCAGACATTTCACAACTAAGTACAGCCAGACATATCGCACATGTAAGTACAGCCAGACATATCACACATGGAAGTACAGCCAGACATATCACAACTGTAAGAACAGCCATACATATCACACATGTAAGTCCAGCCAGACATTTCACAACTGTAAGAACAGCCATAGAAATCACACATGTAAGTACAGCCAGACATATCACACATATAAGTACAGCCAGACATATCACCCATGTAAATACAGGGAGACATATCACACATGTAAGTACAGCCAGACATATCACAACTGTAAGAACAGCAATACATATCACACATGTAAGTACAGCCAGACATTTCGCAACTGTAAGAACAGCCATACAAATCACACATGTAAGTACAGCCAGACATATCACACATGTAAGTACAGCCAGACATATCACAACTGTAAGAACAGCCATACATATCACACATGTAAGTACAGCCAGACATTTCACAACTGTAAGAACAGCCATACAAATCACACATGTAAGTACAGCCAGACATATCACACATGTAAGTACAGCCAGACATATCACATATGTAGCGGAACTTGACTGGGTGGATCGTCAGCAACCAGGTAGCTCAATTGGTAGTGCGTCAGTCTAGAGTTCCGAGGGTCCTGGGTTCAAACCCTGGTCTGGTCTTTGCATTTCTCTTTCTCCTGATACACATAGAATGAATCCAGACACATCAAGTCTTCCATCCACTGCCCCCAAAAAAAGTAGCCGCTAAATCCATTCAGCTAATCTCTCATTCAAAACTCTCAACATATGACCTTAATCCACACACCCAATATCTCATTCACAACTTCCAAAATATATACTCAATCCACACAAAAAAGTCTTAAATTCATGAAGCTATAATAATTAATTATACATGAAACAATTTTGAAGAAATACATTATTTAGCAAACAAAAATCTTTTCAAAATGTGTTAAGTTTGATTTTGTTGTTATTAGTACAGGGCTGGGTAGACTCAGTTTATGTGAGGAAGCAGTCAGCCTACGGTGGAAGTACTAAGTCTGTGACTGGCTGTTGTACCCAGCATTTGTAAGTTACACAACTTACTGTTTAAATACTGTATAAGGACATTTATTATGTAACCCTTTCATACTGTATCTTGTATTGTCTAGAAATTTGCATTAACCTTTCATTTGGTATACAGTTTCATGGAACATAAATTGTATCAGTTAAGTTTAAATTTTGTCTGTTCAGAACATTGATATTGATTGGGTTATACAGGTTTCACTGTATAAATTTTCATATATTTTAGGAAACCGTTTTTGATGGAAATATTCAATACTAGTATATAATTAATGTAACCACTTTCTTTAGCAGGATATGACATTGTATCAAAATGTCATGTTACTTTTTTTCTGCAAAAAGTATTCATTATATATAAAGGTTTGTTGTTTTTACAGCTGGTGTCATTCTGCCCTGTCTCTGACAATTTTTGGGATAGTTTTTACAGTAGCCATGCTGGACCCTCAGGTAAAATCTCTTTTTTTTGATAATGTTATCATGGCCATTATATATAGGCCATCAGATAAATGCTTAATATTCTTAATGTTTTTGGGGTCCTGTTAACAGTAGCCATGTTAGACCCTTAGGTAAATTATTGATGTTTTTAGGGTAGTGTTTACAAGTGCCACGTTGTACCTTCAGATAAGTTTTCAATGTTTTTGGGCACTGTTAACAGTGGCCATATTGGATCCTCAGGTAAAAGCTCAATATTGTTGGTGCACTGTTAAGAAGGGCCAGGTTGGACCCTAGGGTAAGCTATCAATGTTTGTTTTGGTAGAGACCCTCAGGTAAATAGTCAATATTTTTGGGGAACTGTTAACATTAGGGCCAGGTTGGACCCTAGGGTAAGCTATTAATGTGTGTTTGGGTAGAGACCCTCAGGTAAATGCTCAATATTTTTGGGGCACTGTTAAAATAAGGGCCATGTTGGACCCTAGGGTAAGCTATTAATGTGTGTTTGGGTAGAGACCCTCAGGTAAATAGTCAATATTTTTGGTGCACTGTTAAGAAGGGCCATGTTTGACACTCGGATAAGCTATCAATGTTTTTTGGGTAGAGACCCTCTGGTAAATGCTCATCATTTTTTGGGCACTGTTGACATTAGGGCCATGTTGGACCCTAGGGTAATAAGCTATCAATGTTTTTTTGGGTAGAGACCCTCAGGTAAATGGTCAATATATTTGGGGAACTGTTAACATTAGGGCCATGTTAGATCCTTGGGTAATTAGCTATCAATGTTTGTTTGGGTAGAGACCCTCAGGTAAGTGCTCAATAGTTTTGGGGCACTGTTAATATTAGGGCCATAATGGATCCTTGGGTAAGTTACAGTGTATCAATGTTTTTTTCGGGTAGAGACCCTCAAGTAAATTCATTGCACACAATAACAATGTTTATCAATGGAGAATTTCATGTTCCGATCCGAATTAAAGTAAGGAAAGATTTTAAACAGATTTATTCTGAATTACTGATGCTAAATTGCCAAGGCATCCTCACTATATAATTATACACAGTTCCTGTGGCAACCAGCCAATCACAGCACTATGAATCCTATAGGATATATGATAGGATATCCTGAAATCCAGCAGAAATAGTCAACAAAGCTACTACCTTTCAATAATGAAAGTTTGTATCTTGCAAATACAATATTATATTGTTAGATTTTCATGTTAAAAGTGATTGTTCCGATGAAAAAAACACATTAATTTTATCTCCTATGTGTGGGTATGTTACCTACATCTTCCTATCATCATAAATATGTAATGATTTGTATGGCTTACTTTGTTATATATTAATTTGCATGCATAACACACTATTGCATCAGTTTTACATTCAAAACATGTTTTGAAACTGATTAGAAATATGAAGATACTGTGATTACAGGAAAGTTTTTATAATGCATTTTATACAAAATTCAGTTTTAATTACCAATAAACTGAAGTCTAATAATTGAGTTTTTATTTCATTCGTATTGATACTTGTCATAAATTGTGAACTGATGTAAATTGGCATTCATAGTTAGTTTTTCATATGATTTTTTATTTCCTGTTGATGGTCATATTGATTGTGAAACCCAACTGAAAGCAATTAATTATATGGTTTCAAGTGACATGACTCGCCCTAGGATTCTTTAGTTACATTGATTCTGACCATATTTGATGTAACAGTTCAGTCCTTTATTACTTTAAACACTTTCATGAGAACAATACATTTTCATGCAAGGTAAACATAGAAAACCACATACAAATAAACCATACCAGCAGTCACCCACACGCTGTATAGTACAGTGTAGGGAGAGATCCTACAGTCACACACCACACACTATATAGTACAGTAAAGGGAGTGATCCTACAGTCACACACCACACACTATATAGTGCAGTGAAGGGAGTGATCCTACAGTCACACACCACACACTGTATAGTACATAAAGGGAGTGATCCTACAGTCACACACCACACACTGTATAGTGTAACAGTTCAGTCCTTTATTACTTTAAACACTTTCATGAGAACAATACATTTTCATGCAAGGTAAACATAGAAAACCACATACAAATAAACCATACCAGCAGTCACCCACACGCTGTATAGTACAGTGTAGGGAGAGATCCTACAGTCGCACACCACACAATGTAAAGTACAGTGTAGGGAGAGATCCTACAGGCACACACCACACACTGTATAGTACAGTGTAGGGAGAGATCCTACAATCATACACCACACACTGTATAGTACAGTGTAGGGAGAGATCCTACAATCATACACCACACACTGTATAGTACAGTGTAGGGAGTGATCATACAGTCACACACCACACACTATACAGTACAGTGTAGGGAGAGATCCTACAGTCACACACCACACTGTAAAGTGCAGTGTAGGGAGAGATCCTACAGTCACACACCATACACTGTATAGTACAGTGTATGGAGAGATCCTACAGTATAGTACAGTGAAGGGAGTGATCCTACAGTCACACACCACACACTGTATAGTACAGTGAAGGGAGTGATCATACAGTCACACACCACACACTATATAGTACAGTGTAGGGAGAGATCCTACAGTCACACAGCACACACTGTATAGTACAGTGTAGGGAGAGATCCTACAGGCACACACCACACCCTGTAAAGTACAGTGTAGGGAGAGATCCTACAGTCACACACCATACACTGTGATCATACAGTCACACACCACACACTATATAGTACAGTGAAGGGAGTGATCCTACAGTCACACACCACACACTATATAGTGCAGTGAAGGGAGTGATCCTACAGTCACACACCACACACTGTATAGTACAGAAAGGGAGTGATCCTACAGTCACACACCACACACTATATAGTACAGTGAAGGGAGTGATCCTACAGTCACACACCACACACCATATAGTACAGTGTAGGGAGAGATCCTACAGTCACACACCATACACTGTATAGTACAGTGGAGGGAGAGATCCTACAGTCACACACCACACTATGTAAAGTACAGTGTAGGGATATATACTACAGTCACACACCACACACTGTATAGTACAGTGTAGGGAGAGATCCTACAGTCACACACCACACACTGTATAGTACCATGTAGGGAGAGATCCTACAGGCACACACCACACACTGTAAAGTACAGTGTAGGGAGAGATCCTACAGTCACACACCACACACGGATAGTACAGTGTAGGGAGAGATCCTACAGTCACACACCACACTATGTAAAGTACAGTGTAGGGATATATACTACAGTCACACACCACACACTGTATAGTACAGTGTAGGGAGTGATCCTACAGTCACACACCACACACGGATAGTACAGTGTAGGGAGCGATCCTACAGTCACACACCACACACTGTATAGTACTGTGTAGGGAGAGATCCTACAATCATACACCACACACTGTATAGTACCATGTAGGGAGAGATCCTACAGGCACACACCACTCACTGTATAGTACAGTGTAGGGAGCGATCCTACAGTCACACACCACACACTGTATAGTACAGTGTAGGGAGAGATCCTACAATCATACACCACACACTGTATAGTACCATGTAGGGAGAGATCCTACAGGAACACACCACACACTGTAGTACAGTGTAGGGAGAGATCCTACAGGCACACACCACACACTGTATAGTACAGTGTAGAGAGAGATCCTACAATCATACACCACACACTGTATAATACCATGTAGGGAGAGATCCTACAATCACACCCCACTCACTGTATAGTACAGTGTAGGGAGAGATCCTACAGGCACACACCACACGCTGTATAGTACAGTGAAGGGAGTGGTCATAGAGTCACACACCACACACTATATAGTACAGTGAAGGGAGTGATCCTACAGTCACACACCACACACATACACCACACACTGTATAGTACAGTGAAGGGAGTGATCCTACAGTCACACACCACACACATACACCACACACTGTATAGTACAGTGTGGGGAGAGATCCTACTGTCACACACCACACACTGTATAGTAAAGTGTAGAGAGAGATCCTACAATCATACGCCACACACTGTATAATACCATGTAGGGAGAGATCCTCCAGTCACACACCACACACTGTATAGAACAGTGTAGGGAGAGATCCTACAATCATACCCCACACACTGTATAATACCATGTAGGGAGAGATCCTACAATCACACACCACACACTGTATAGTACTGTGTAGGGAGAGATCCTACAGTCACCCACCACACACTGTATAGTACAGTGTGGGGAGAGATCCTACTGTCACACACCACACACTGTATAGTACATTGTAGGGAGAGATCCTACAGGCACACGCCACACACTGTATAGTACAGTGTAGGGGGAGGTCCTACATTCACATACCACACACTGTATAGTACGGTGTAGGGAGAGATCCTACAGTCACTCACCACACACTGTATAGTACAGTGTATGGAGAGATCCTACAATCATACACCACACGCTGTATAGTACAGTGAAGGGAGTGGTCATAGAGTCACACACCACACACTATATAGTACAGTGTAGGGAGGAACAGTCTCACACCACATACTGTATAGTACAGTGTAGGGGGAGATCCTACAGTGTATAGTACAGTGTAGGCAGAGATCCTACAATCATACCCCACACACTTTATAGTACAGTGTAGGGAGAGATCCTTCAGTCACACACCACACACTGTATAGTACTGTGTAGGGAGAGATCCTACAGTCACTCACCACACACTGTATAGTACAGTGTGGGGAGAGATCCTACAGTGACACACCACACACTGTATAGTACAGCGTAGGGAGGAACAGTCACACACCACATAATGTATAGTACAGTGTAGGGAGAGGTCCTACAGTCACACACCACACACTGTAAAGTACAGTGTAGGGAGAGATCCTACAGTCACCCACCACACACTGTATAGTACAGTGTGGGGAGAGATCCTACCGTCACACACCACACACTGTATAGTAAAGTGTAGAGAGAGATCCTACAATCATACGCCACACACTGTATAATACCATGTAGGGAGAGATCCCACAGTCACACACCACACACTGTATACCACACAATGTACAGTACAGTGTAGGGATATATACTACAGTCACACGCCACACACTGTATAGTACAGTGTAGAGAGAGATCCTACAATCATACACCACACCCTGTATAGTACAGTGTAGGGAGTGATCCTACAGTCACACACCACACACTATATAGTGCAGTGTAGGGAGAGATCCTACAGTCACACACCACACAATGTATAGTACAGTGTAGGGAGAGATCCTACAGTCGCACACCATACACTGTATAGTACAGTGTAGGGAGGAACAGTCACACACCACATACTGTATAGTACAGTGTAGGGAGAGATCCTACATTCACATACCACACACTGTATAGTACAGTGTAGGGAGAGATCCTACAGTCACGCACCACTCACTATATAATACAGTGTATGGAGGCACAGTCACACCCCACACACTGTATAGTACAGTATAGGGAGAGATCCTACAGTCACTCACCACACAATGTATAGTACAATGTAGGGAGAGATCCTACGGTGAACATCTGTAACTCTCGTCTCTCATCCGTGGCTCTGTATAGTACAGTGTAGGGATATATACTACAGTCACACACCACACACCATATAGTACAGTGAAGGGAGAGATCCTACAGTCACGCACCACTCACTATATAATACAGGGTAGGGAGGGACAGTCACACACCACACACTGCCTAGTATAGTGTAGGGAGAGATGCTACGGTCACACACAATACACTATACACCACACACTGTATAGTACCATGTAGGGAGAGATCCTACAGGCACACACCGCACACTGTATAGTACAGTGTAGAGAGAGATCCTACAGTCACGCACCACTCACTATATAATACAGGGTAGGGAGGGACAGTCACACACCACATACTGTATAGTACAGTGAAGGGAGAGATCCTACAGTCACTCACCACACAATGTATAGTACAGTGTAGAGTACAGTGTAGGGAGCGATCCTACCGTCACACACCAAACAATGTATAGTCCAGTGTAGGGAGAGATCCTACATTCACATACCACACACTGTATAGTACAGTGTAGGGAGGGACAGTCACACACCACACAATGTATAGTACAATGTAGGGAGAGATCCTACGGTGAACATCTGTAACTCTCGTCTCTCATCCGTGGCTCTTGTCTCCCCTCCGATCCGTGACTCCTGTCTCCATTCGTGTTGATAGATTTGACAAATTTGTGTTAATTGTGTAAATCCCAGATACTGACATTAATATGGACCAGAATAGATTGTGACATTAATAAGGGCCCCGTATCCAAAATACGGGTTCCCTATAGTAATCACTCTGTCTGTCTGTCTGTCTGTCCGTCGTCAAATTTTGTTCATGGCTCATAACTTTGTTATTTATTGACCTATGTACATGAAACTTGGTCAAGATGTTCAGTTTACAAAAATTCACATTGAAGTAAAAAGTCAAGGTCAAAGGTCAAGGTCATTAGGTTCAAAGGTCAAGGTCAAATTTTGCATATTTTCACTGATAAACATTTTGTTATGACATGATGAAGCAAAGTTGATCAGAATTATACAAGGAGTCAATTGACCAAAGGTCAAGGTCACTGGGTCAAAGGTGAAGGTTAAATTTTGTTATGACATTATGCAGCAATGTTGGTCAGAATTTGACTGGTGAACATTTTGGAATAACACTTTGAAGCAATGTTGTTCAGAATTAAACAAGGAGTCAATTGACCAAAGGTCAAGGTCAAAGGTCAAAGGTCACGGTCAAATTTTGTATCTTTTCCCTGATGAATATTTTGTTATGACTTTATGAAGCAAAGTTGGTCGGAATTTAACAATGAGTCAACTGACCTAAGGTCAAGGTCACTCGGTCAAAGGTCAAGGTAAAATTTAGTACTTTTTTGCCGGTGAACATTTCATTATGACACTTTGAAGCGATGTTTGTGGGAATTAAACAAGGAGTCATTTGACCAAAGTGCAAGGTCAAAGGTCAAGGTCAAATTTTGTGTTTTTTCACTGATGAACATTTTGTTATGACATTATGAAGCAAAGTTGGTCGGAATTAAAGAATAAGTCAACTAAATAAAGATCAGGGTCACTGGGTTAATGGTCAAGGTCATTTGGGTCCAAAGGTCAAAGACAAAGTGGTTCTCTGACTTTGACCCTGGCTCTAGGTGGAGGAGGTATGTAAGGTGAAATAAAACAAATTAAAGCTAACAAATGAGTATTGCACCGGTATTTACATTTCTGTTAGTCCAGCAAATATGGAGGTGGAAGGAAAATGTATATTTTGCTTCCTTGCGATTATTTTTGAAGTCAAAATGTCAAACGGCAAGCTCAGCTATATGGGCAGATTGCTTCTTGATGATTATGGGGGTTATATTGCCACAAGACAGGGCCCTTACTGACCTGTCAGTGTTCTAATTTGTTCAGGGTCTGTATTCATGAAACCGTTCTCATGCTCAAGCATGGATGTTGTGCTCAAGTCTAATTTTTCGTTCCGGTTATCAAGCCGAATACGGTTTTTAATGTTAATATTTGACTTTTGAATCGTTTAAGTCAGATACAAGAAAGTTGGTTTAAGCAGATAATCCATGCTTGAGCATGATAATGGTTTGATTAATACAGGCCCTGATATCGTTTGGTCATAAAAGAATTTGTAACAATTACACTACTTTAATTCATTCAGAAGCTATCTTTGAAACAACAATATCAATATATTCAAAGACAAGCATTACGGGTACCGTTTGCACGATTAATTTGTATGGCTCGCATACTGTATTCAGTCATAATACAATTACTACCTAACAATATCCTCACTAGTACCATAGTCCGAATCCAAATTGAAAATAGTCATGTTACAAAAGTATGTTGTAATCATTTAAGCTCGCCTATTCGGAGAATAGGGAGGACTCATGTATATACAAATAATGTAGTCACCTCGGCGTCGGCGTCCCACTTCACTGAGGTTAAAGTTTTTGGGCAAGAGTTTTCCAGACAGTGTTGGATAATCACTCTCAATACATTCTTGTCTATCATAAGGCTGAGGCATTTTATGGTGTGTAAGCAATGTGCTCAACCATATTTCATATTTTAGGGGCAGACACTGGTTAATTGGACTTGGTTAAAGGTTTTGAGCAAGTTTGTTTGATTGGACACCAACATCAATACCCTGTTGACTATTTCACGTTGTCTGGTCATTTTTTTTCTTTTCAAATGTACAACATATAAAGGTTCAGCAAAAACTTGTTATATTGCCACCATTTGTTCACAGAAATATTGGCATTATAAAGGGGTTTGGCAATAAATTGAGGGGAATGTATAAAGGAATTCCTAAGAAAAACATAATCAAGGGACCTAAAAAAAACTTTTTAAAAACCTCAGCAGTTATATATGAAAACATCATCACCCACACGTGGATCATACTGTTTAGGCATATAAATTGGTTGGATAAACAAATTTCCTTTTTCTTTTGAAATTTTAACTATTTGAAACTGCAGCTTTGATGGCGCTCCAACGGCAGGAACGCGGTGTTCCTAGTGAAAGGTACCCAGATCTTTTGATCAGCAGCTAATGTCGTCTGTCGCGTATGTGTCTTTGATGTGGTTAGCTGTGATAGATCAATACAAAAGCCATGTTCTTTTGAAGTATTGTACCGTTGTATCTATTTTGAAGGGGACCGATTGTGCTGTCACACTTTCATTTACAGACCACCCACGCTCATGCCCACGCTGTGTCTAAGTCTCCTCCCTGTAACGACATTGTAAATCACGTCACCTACAGATATAGCAAATCAGGAAAGATGCATTTATGTTATATTTGACGCTGTATAGCAGATGATATCTACATACGTGTGTATGTTATAATAGCATATGTATTATGTATCCCAGGATTCGGAAATGCTGGAAAACATACTCCAGTGTACATGTATCAATATTTTGATTTATTTTTAAATAAAACAAATATCTTTTTCCTTATATTTTCCATCAGAATTTTTGCACGTATGCTGTTTATGTCCTAGGTGTTCTTGAATATAAATACAACGTAAACCTCGCCTTTTCAGTTAAATATTGAAAGTATTTTATTGAATAACAAAGGGATGTAAACAAGCTTAAATAGCTTTTATGAGTTCCTGACGCTTTTAAGATTTATAACTTGACAAATGTACAGTATATATCCGTATAAATTGATTGTAATATATTTTTTTCCTTTCTTTTTGCAATTTGTAGGGGTTTGTAGACATGCTGGAGAAATTTTCATCATTCACTCTTAATTTGGAAGCTAGTGTGTTCGTGTTTTTAATGTTATTACGAGCCCAGAGGAAAAATAACAAAAGGTAAAATAGAATATAATTATGTATATATAAATATGTATAACAATGTCATTACATAATATGTACATTGTGTCTCCAACATTACCTATTGTGTACTTCCAAGGGAATTAATGTAGTGTTCTCTGGTCACAGGAAAATAAATGTTACTCTCTGTTCATTGATTTAGCGTGGTGTAATATTATGTCGTAGACAATCTTTATATTTTCCATACATGAATCAAATATATAGCATGATATGATCAGTTTCTGCATTTCAAGATATGAAAACAAATTAACAAATTTTGAAGTGCAGTCTCGAGTTGATTATTTGCATATACTAATTGTGTCTCCCATATGTTATAATGTAAATTTATTAACTCTTCAAAACTTATGTAGTCAGTTTTATTGTTTGGCGTTGCTAGTCACAGACGTGAAGTTCTGGTTATTTATAGTCACACACGTACAATGGTATTTGGATCATTTATCTTGCTTGTTTGATCCGGGCGGAATGCTGTGCTAGGTGCCTTCGGCATGATATTTCAGTGGGATAGCACTATAAAGTCGGCATCAGATCCGCGCTATCACAAGGAGGCTATTACACCAATATGCCCTGCCTCTAGCACACATACACACATGGAGTCACGTCCTTAATGACCTTAGCTGTTAATAGGACATTAAATAAGAGAAAACCAAACCAAACTAAGATTCCAAATTCTAGGTTGACAGTTCACGTACATTTTACTATGAGCTTTTAGTTACTGCGACTAAAGTTCAATGTTTATACAGTATTGAAATCAGAGTGTTTCTAGGTGTTTGACCTTGTTTTTGTTTTTCATTTCAGATTTCTAAAAATTCCACTGCCTATTCCTAACTCATTACGGTGGTTGCAGTTCTTTATCCCTCTGTACTTCGGGTTTGCAGTGATATATGACTTGTACAACACTGTGCGGGACATTGTGTCTGGGGAGGATGACCTGTCGGTCACGTTAGTGACTACAATATATAACCAATCACTAACGACCATGCTGCCTTATGTTAATACATCTGTGTAACAGGCTCTAGGTCAACGTTTAACAGATGTTCTTTAACTGTTAACATTCTGTTGTTTCATTTTGTTCTGAATAGATTCGTTTGAGTTAAGGGAACATCTTAAGCTAAAGAAAGTTTCAAAAGCCTAAGATGCAAGGAACTGATTTGAAAATTAATATAAAAAACAGAGAAAAAGCTAATTATGTTCCATATGGTGTGTGTGCGTTTGAGTGGGGTGATTTGGAATACTAAAGTGTGACTATTTCGGTTATGAGAATGACTGAGTATGAGTACGATTATTGGGTAGTATACATGTGAGAATTTTCAATATGGTGATTCTTTTTTAAAAATAACATGAAAATTCGGAGTGTGATTATTTTGAGCACGCGTACCTGTAATAAGGATGATTGAAATGTTTCCTTACACTAATCTTAAGTATAATCCTGTATAATGTTTAAAAGTATTTTGTTACTAATGGAATGTATTTGGCATACGTCTGTGAATAAGCCCACCAGCATCAGTTATCAGTCCTGTCAAGTGATTTTAAGGAACCTTCAATGATTTTCATATTAAAATACGTTTATGATGAACATATGTTTTGGAACAAAAATCGGTTAAAATGACGTCACCTGAAAAGAGTTGAAGTAGTTTTATACCAAATCAGAGAGAGAGAAAATATTCATGTGCAATGGTCCATTTTTCTCTTGTTTTTCGTACATTTAAGACCCATCAATATTTTGGTCAACCTTATTCACTTCAGGAGAAGGGAATTCATTTGCAGTAAAATACGATAATGTACAGGGAACACAGTAATACAGTTATATCTAAAACTTTTAATACATACATGTACCGGGGACTGGCTATTATTGTAAATATCTGGTTGTTATGTTTGTTTAGTTTATAAAGATATGAACACAGAGACATGTAACATGCTGTATAACTGAATATTAATCAAATCCATTACCTATATCTCGGGCACAGATTTTGTAACATTCCAACCTCGGCTTATGCCTCGGTTGGGATTATGTTCCAGAATCTTACCCTCGATTGAGATATATCTCGATCTCGCTCAGTTACGGGTATTTGATTTTTTTTCTCGCACTCTCACCTCTTAGTTCGAAAAACTATTGAATTTCGGTAATTTCATTAAAAACAATACATATATCAACAAAACAGAACCAAAGAAATGTACGCGTGTAGCCCCTGCATCAGCGCACTGATGGATATATCGCTGTGTGAAAATTCCACAAAATGTCACATAAAGATATCAGAAAGTAGAGAGATCGAACGAGATGGAAACAAATCCCACTGAGTATCACTTGGGGTATCTCTGTCTGAGTTGCGACAAATATATATCTTCAGTTATGTAGTCCGTTTACAGGTGATATATGTATGTGGTTATAATGGGTAGATTACTAATTTACCCATGATCAAATGTACGTGTAGTTACCACCTCAGATTCTAGACAAAAATATAAAAAAAAAAAACAGGCGGATCCAAGCGGCGTCACCAGCGCACGTGTCACTCTCCTGCCCTTGACTGATTTTTTTAGTGCTCATATATATATATATATATATTCAATGATTTTTTACTTCTTTAACTGGCGATTATAGTTGTGTATTAGTGTCCAAGCAACACCCTCCCACCGCACTACCACAGTTTGAAACTCCGTGCCGACACACTCCAGCATCAATGAACTAAATAGGTGGTTATATTTAATAATAAAGAAAAGAACTACATATAAGTCGGTAATATGTAAGTATTTTATCTTTGAACAAATGTAGTTTATATTGTTGATTCAATAAAATATAGGAGTCTGAAATTCGTACGGAATGGTTACCCCACCCTCATTCACTGTTTAGGATTTTACAGCAGTTTGTACAGATCATCACTGTAGTAATAGAGCGATACACCCAATCGGTCGTGCAGGATTATCAAGGGTATCACGGAGCGTGTGTGCATCAAATTTAAATTTAATACATTAAAATAAAACAAAACTTATAATTACATAACCTTCAAACTTGTACCTCATTGTTCAGATACTTATACATATCTACAAGCTTTAACGGAGGCACCGTAGTCTAGTGGTAGGACGCCGGGCTCGTGACCGAAGGGTCGCGGGTTCCAGTCACGGCACGGCACTGTGTTGTAACTTTGAGCAAGATACTTTACTCCGCTTGGTCCAGTCTACTCAGCTTTAAATGAGTACGTGGTTAGGTAGTGCTAGACTTATTGAATGCTAGCTGTGAGCGCCGGAATGGCAGCACCGACTTTATGCTCCCAGGGGAGTTGAAAAAGATGTTGGCTGGTTGCACCACAGATAATAGTTTGTGAACCGCTTTGAGACGACCTACGAACTAGGTTCTGATAAAGCGGTATATAAGAACCTCTAATTATTATATTATAACTATCAAAGAAGCATTTATTTTGTCTTTTACCTCGGATATGAACCTGGCTGAAAATAGAGCATTCCTGGTCTATATCTCTTTGTGATTATGCATACATAGGCTGAGAAGTTATTTATCTATGTATGATATAGTTACAGAAACTGTTGAGTGTGTATTGAAAGGCAATAATTATCTGGATAGTCACATTATATACCCATATAGGACACCTGCCCGAGTGATGGTGAACCAGTATTATAACATTGTCTACCTTCAAGAGTAAATAATAAACAGGAATTATATGTATGGAAAGCGCGTTATTTAAGCGGTTTGGTTTTGGACCACCATATTATGCAGGCAAATTTGATGGTTGAAATTTCACATTTGTATTACCACAAGAAAGGATTGGTGAACTAATATGTATTATTATATGCATGGAAATTTCTCGCAATCACATTGGTCGGATCCTCTACACTTGACCAGTCCTCAAAAAACTCATAACGTTATAAATATTTCTTCATAACCCTTTATTTACTTAGTTGATGAACAATTAAAATGAGTGCGTAATAAAAGGAAAAATAATGGTTAAGATGTCAATTTACTTTTATTATTCAGACATAGCTGGGAATCCTTTTCAAAAGGCGAAAAATCGTAAGGTGCAACACTAAAGCAAAGACAACATGTACATTTATCCTCCAACAGAAAGTGATAAGGTACAGTGTTGTCGTTAAGTTTGGCTGTTAACTGTTTCCGAAACCTCTACTTGTCTCGTTTCCATTCCGTTTCATTGACTAGTACTATAATATACCATAGTCAGAGACGTATATACTGGCTTTACATGTCTCTGACCATAGTATATTTAATTGCATGACTTAATCATAGATACGGATTGGATCATAATTTACAAGGTATTTTCTTTTGTATAAAATTTCAGAACACTATGAGGACAGCTCTGTGCTTAGCCTTGGGTTTCCATTCCATTTTATTATAGGATGTGTGTATAAGTATATTGATTCACTGATTATTTAAAGGGACAATGTGATGGTTTCTCGGATCACTTTGAGTGAAATACCTGACTTCTAATCATGATCACCTAGTGTGATGAACCTGTGCTGTACTCACATCAGCTGCACCTAGTGTGATGAACCTGTGCTGTACTCACATCAGCTGCACCTAGTGTGATTAACCTGTGTTGTACTCACATCAGCTTTACTTAATCCGTACACAACGTCTTCAACGTTTTTCTTCAAGGAACGTCTTCTTAAGAACTCTAAAGCCAAAAGTCGTAATGAGTTGGATGTAAACGTAGTTTCTCCGGTAAAGGGCAATTGCACTTGTACCCATTAAAGACATTGACATATGTATTCTGCCGCGTAGCATGAACTATGCTTATAAAGAACGTCCATGGATGTCGGGAATATACATGTCAATGTTTTAAAAATGTATTTTCATGATATTTTGTTAAATCTCGATTGTCGGGGTCATCTATTCTTAACTAAGATTAACATACCATTATTCCGTTAGCACTTTATCTGCGTGTACTTTGTAACTTCTGTTAAAACTCATTTATATCATTTTTAATATTATTCTTTTATTATTGATACTATCGTTAGAATATGGTTTGCTTAATACTCATGATTTTGGACCCTGATAACTTATCATTACATACTAGGTATTCAGTATTTATTTTGTACTTGCTGTTCAAAGAGTTCACATTTACAGGCGTTTTCGGTGATATCAGTAATAAAAAAAATATTTCGAATATAGTTCTGTAATTGATCTGGATATGAAATGCTCTGTGAATCGCGACGTTAGAATTTAACGTCTATATTGCTTTTAGTGCATTTGTTATAAAGCAAGCATGTTTATCACCTCCACCGTTGTCTATTAGATGGGTTGGGAGTGATGGAAGAACTGCACGTTATGGTAGAAATGTATATATGTACTTGACGGTAATGATTGAGTTGTCAAGTAAACCTTTTAAACATTGATTAAACGATGTTTGATGCAATTTGTTTTTCGTTTTTCCAAGATTAAATACGATACTCTTCAATTTCTTATGGTTAGGGCTGTACTTTTTGTTTTCTCAGGGAAGATTATATTTTAAGCATTATTTTCATGACACTCTTGTTGTACTAATTTTAAAAGGGCAGTAAACAGTAATTTACTTATACTCACTGACCTGTTGAGGCGATTCCCGTACTTATTATCAATCATGTTTAGAAGCTTACGATGTACAGTGTAATTGCTATGCATTAAAATTGTGACATTATATGGATATATTGAAATTAAAATTATTTCAACCATTTGTTGTTTGTATACCTTTTCTAGTATTAGAAATATAATTCCCAGTCTTCCATGCTTCTACTTGTAATACGTAGTCCCAATATCTCTACTGGTATTTAATAAGTCCATGTAAGCTGGTAGCTAGTATATCAATGTGACGTATTTTCCGTATCAGCTAGAATTACAATACCATGACATATAATGCGAATACAGTGTATTACATCGGGCCATGTAACCCGTAATATACAGGTTTTACAATACATATAGTCCGTATAAACTAATATTACTTAAGTGACATATGGTCCGTATAAGCTAATATTTATTATGTGACATATGGTCAGTATAAACAAAGATTTATTATGTGACATATGGTCCGTATAAACTAATATTTATTAAGTGACGTATGGTCCGTATAATCTAATATTTATTATGTGACATATGGTCCGTATAATCTAATATTTATTATGTGACATATGGTTCGTATAATCTAATATTAGATATGTGACATATTGTCCGTATAAACTAATATTTATTATGTGACATATGGTCCGTATAATCTTATATTAATTATGTGACATATGGTCAGTATAAACTAATATTTATTATGTGACATATGGTCCGTATAATCTAATATTAATTATGTGACATATGGTCCGTATAAACTTATATTTATTATGTGACATATGGTCCGTATAAACTAAGATTTTTTATGTGACATATGGTCCGTATAAACTATCATTTATTATGTGCCATATGGTCCGTATAATCTAATATCAATTATGTGACATATGGTCCGTATAAACTTATATTTATTATGTAACATATGGTCCGTATAATCTAATATCAATTATGTGACATATGGTCCGTATAAACTATCATTTATTATGTGCCATATGGTCCGTATAAACTAATATTTATTATGGGACATATGGTCCGTATAATCTAATATTTAATATGAGACATATGGTACGTATAAACTAATATTTATTATGTGCAATATGGTCCGTATAATCTAATATCTATCATGTGACATGGCCCGTAGAAACTAAGATTTATTATGTGACGTATGGTCCGTATAAACTGATATTTGTTATGTGACATATGGTCCGTATAAACTATCATTTATTATGTGCCATATGGTCCGTATAAACTAATATTTATTATGGGACATATGGTCCGTATAATCTAATATTTAATATGAGACATATGGTACGTATAAACTAATATTTATTATGTGCAATATGGTCCGTATAATCTAATATCTATCATGCGACATGGTCCGTAGAAACTAAGATTTTTTATGTGACATATGGTCCGTATAAACTTATATTTATTATGTGACATATGGTCCGTATAAACTTATATTTATTATGTAACATATGGTCCGTATAATCTAATATCTATCATGTGACATGGTCCGTAGAAACTAAGATTTATTATGTGACGTATGGTCCGTATAAACTAATATTTGTTATGTGACATATGGTCCGTATAAACTAATATTTATTATGTGACATATGGTCCCTATAAACTAATATTTATTATGTGACATATGGTCCGTATAAACTAATATTTATTATGTGCCATATGGTCCGTATAATCTAATATCTATCATGTGACATGGTCCGTAGAAACTAAGATTTATTATGTGACATATGGTCCGTATAAACTAATATTTATTATGTGACATATGGTCCGTATAAACTAATATTTATTATGTGCCATATGGTCCGTATAAACTAATATTTATTATGTGCCATATGGTCCGTATAATCTAATATTTATTATGTGACGCATGGTCCGTATAAACTAAGATTTATTTTGTGACATATGGTCCGTATAATCTAATATTTATTATGTGACATGTGGTCCATATAATCTAATATTTATTATGTGACATATGGTCCGTATAAACTAATATTTATTATGTGCCATATGGTCCGTATAATCTAATATTTATTATGTGACATGTGGTCCGTATAATCTAATATTTATTATGTGACATGGTCCGTATAAACTAAGATTTATTATGTGACATATGGTCCGTATAATCTGATATTTATTATGTGACATGTGGTCCGTATAATCTAATATTTATTATATGACATGGTCCGTATAAACAAATATTTATTATGTGACATATGGTCCGTATAATCTAGTATTTATCATGTGACATGTAGTCCATACAAACTATTATTTATCATGTGACATAAAGTTCGTACCAACTAGTCTTTATCATGTGACATAAAGTCCGTACAAACTAGTCTTTATCATGTGACATAAAGTCCGTACAAACTAGTCTTTATCATGTGACATAAAGTCCGTACAAACTAGTCTTTATCATGTGACATAAAGTCCGTACAAACTAGTCTTTATCATGTGACATAAAGTCCGTACAAACTAGTCTTTATCATGTGACATAAAGTCCGTACAAACTAGTCTTTATCATGTGACATAAAGTCCGTACAAACTAGTCTTTATCATGTGACATAAAGTCCGTACAAACTAGTCTTTATCATGTGACATGTAGTCCGTACAAACTAGTCTTTATCATGTGACATAAAGTCCGTACAAACTAGTCTTTATCATGTGACATAAAGTCCGTACAAACTAGTCTTTATCATGTGACATGTAGTCCGTACAAACTAGTCTTGATCATGTGACATAGAGTCCGTACAAACTAGTATTGATCACGTGGTATGTAGTCCGTACAAACTAGTACATGTATTTATCATGTGACATGTAGTCCGTACAAACTAGTACATATATTTATCATGTGACATATAGTCCGCACAAACTAGTATTTATCATGTGACATGTAGTCTGTACAAACTAGTACATGTATTTATCATGTGACATATAGTCCGTACAAACTAGTAGTTATCATTTGACATATGGTCCGTAAAAAGTAGTACATGTATTTATCATGTGACATATAGTCCGTACAAACTAGTATTTATCATGTGACATGTAGTCCGTACAAACTAGTATTTATCATGTGACATGTAGTCCATACAAACTAGTATTTATCATGTGACATGTAGTCCGTACAACGCCTCTAGTATTCCAATGTAGCATATAGTCCGTACAAACTAGTATTTATCACGTTACATTATAAACGAGTCGGTATCGAGATGTATAACAATGCAATATGCAGTTTTATACCTCTACTAATATTACAGTTTGTTACTAAAATAGTCCACATAACATTATAAATTATAGTACGTATACTTTTACTAGAACTACAATTTGATTTATTTTAAATATTACTCTAAATCTATAATCAAAAACAAAACAATATCTGCGCTACCGATATGAGATCAATAAAATTCAATCAAGAATCTGTTTGGATCTGTTTCTTACATACACCATACTTTGCAAGGTAGTTGTGTAGGCTTAATTACGTTCTCTGCACCCCTGGACTATGTAAAGACAAAATCGAAGGTTGAAGGATTTCAATTTTGTCATGGAATTTTCCTAGAATGTAAAGAAGAAAAATGTGTATCGAGAGTACTAATGGAGATCTTGGTTTTCGAAGTTAGAGTTCGGATTGCTGAGCTTAATGTTTAAGTGACGAACAGTCAACACGATAAGCTGTAAATACATACATAACTTCGATATAACACTGATGTTGTACCATTCTCTTACCATTGAACTCCATGATTCGTCATTGTCCATACTTGAGTATGCTCGATCTACATAATTTAACATTCAATGCTGAATATAGAGGGGCTCAAAAGCAAGGGGAGATGTTCGCTACAAGAGTGAGCTGAATGTCATCACTTAAGATGGTTTTGTTTGCAAGCATACGTTCTTTTTATATAACTTAATTGATACAATCTGTATGATCTCCTGCTGTATTGAGATGTCGATCTTTTCATTATTTTGAGGTGTGGTAACCAGAATCTATAATCTCGTCTTGTTGGTATAATTTGAAGTTGATCAGTCTCATCATAAGTATAAGGAATAGTACATAAAGACTTGGCTTGCTGTCTCCTACTGTATAATTTGTGAGGGAGGACTGATACCGAAAATTGCGGAGGTTGTCCTTACAATGGGAGTATCGCCTGGCATTCTAGATTTAGGAGATTCGGAGCTTAATTCTTCTGTTATTCTAACTTTGGAAAATTCAAAGCTTTGTCTGCTTATGGAGATATTGAAAATACTGCCACTAACCTGCTAAATCATAACAAAAACTTGGAGTGTACTGCCACTAACCTGCTAAATCATAACAAAAACTTGGACTGTACTGCCACTAACCTGCTAAATCATAACAATACTTGGACTGTACTGTCACTAACCTGCTAAATCATAACAAAAACTTGGACTGTCTTCTGTTTTTTTCTCATCCTTGGTGTCTTGTGATCCCGGTGTTATAAATAGGATTACATAAAACTAATAAACATACAGTGTTGGATACTTATTTCATTGTTGGCGGCCCGCCTGACAAACAATTAGTGTTCTGACATACTGTAAATATGCATTTACTATTGTATAAACGGTAAATCAAAATTTTAAAAGAAGTTCTAACTTTTTTATGGGGTCCATATATTTGTAGTGTTGATAAAGGGAAGTCAAAATGCTGTATAGTCCATTGTAAATATCTAAGTGTTAAGCGGAGCAGAGCACATATTAAAACAAGAATTTGCCTCACATGGTACACGAGGTGAGGACGTAATGAGTACGTTTATACATCGCGGCGATATAACAAGTACCATAAACATAGAGGAGCACGTGTCGTCCCTGACATATTTAATAAATACTTACCGCAGTGCGTGGCTGAGTCACTTATGGTTCGATCGATATTTGCATGTGACTGTTGTTATAATTATTTTACAAAGTATGCATATAATGAACAAAGACTGCGATACAGGAAAGATTCACTTCATACTTTTCTATAAAACTGTATTGTTTAGGAGTACTTAAGGTAATAGGATTGTGTCACCATTTCTCAGTAGAATTTCTTCCAATTTTGTAGTTATATTGCGTTGAAGTAAAGAAAATTTTCTGCCACAAAAAAAATACAGGTTGTCAGAATTTAAAGGATTTGAAATGAAAATTTATGTAAAAAGGAGTGAGTTTTGAACAAAAAATGAAAGACACAATTTCAGGCAAAATAATGTCAATAAAAATGATACTGACATAGAATAGTATTGCATTCATGTATATCAATTTCATAAATGCTGAAATTGTGTAAAATTAATTATCTATAAACGTTTAAAAATTGACATTTTATAATAAAACAATGTACATATAGTAAATGCATGTAAAGAGTTATTTTTCTTGAAAAACTTCACAGTAGTGAAATAGGTAGCCGGGTTCCTGAAGTACAGAAAAATGGACACATGTGACTCATTGATAAAACACAACTGAATTAATGCCTAGATTGATTTGAAATACTTTAATATTGAGAGAACACACTGTTCTGTCAATAATAAACATGCAATATTTATCAGTTTAATATTAAACATCAGAATATGCGGAAATTGTGATACTGTCTCCCTACATTGGATTTTCAACTAGGGATGCACTTCCTATTTCCGTTTATCAATACACTCCTATGACCTTAATCAACGTACGAGTGTTCCGTCTTTGCGTATTTACGTAACAATCAATACCTGCTCCCAAGAGAAGATAACTCTGCAATACGCAAAGACGGAATAACGTTTCTATTACTTTTGACTTTTCGCGTTATCGGTTCGTTGGAAGTATACTTTTTATTATGCTGTGTTGGTTGTTTGATGTTTGAATAAAAATGTCTTCTTTGGGTTCCATATCAAATACGAGAGCAGTCATTCAACATCATCTAACATTGAATTCCATTTTATTGACAATCCAGAACACTGACAAACAACGACATCTTCGTTGCTGCGTAGATGTTCTGATGGGAATTTTAGAAGTTTGTTATATGATATTTTACTTTTATTGAATGACAAACAGGTCAGTTTTACGCCAACAACACGGGGATGAGTCATATTGTTATTTCGTGAAACATGGAATATGTGAATATACAAGCTCCAGTCAAAGTTGAACTGATCAAGCCAATCGCGAACCCATGTGCTTTGCTTAAAGAAAGCACTGGCATCACAACAACTATATCTTCTCCAGAAAAAGTCGCATCCCTGTTGTATACAATAACTGGATCTAGAACGGAACTTGTTTGACTTATAGTTGTCGCAGAGGAAATTTGCAACGTGTGAGTTCCGGTTGGGGTTGATGTTGCAAGTATTTTGGAAAAGTAGGTTGGAGTTGTTTCGAAATGATAGTCGCAGTTGTTTTTTTAGTGCTTGACGTAGTTGGTTTTGGAGCCTTAGTTACAGTTGTTTTCGGACTGGTAGTCGTGGTGGTAGTTTGGATTGGCAGTCGGAGTTGTTTTTGGAGTCGTTCGTTGGTCGATGTTGAGTTTGGAGTGGTAGTCACAGTTGTTCATAGAGTGGTAGTCGTAGTTGGTTTTGGAGTTCTTCGATGGTCGTAGATGGTTTCGGAGTTGTGGTTGGAGTCGTTCGTGTGGTCGTAGATGGTTTCGGAGTGGTAGTCGGAGTTGTGTTTGGAGTCGTTGTACACTGGACGTCGTCAAGATGTGTACCACTAGGGTCGGACCAAATGGCATGACAGCCCCCACACGAATTAGACCTGAGATTGATGAAGTTAAAAAACAAAAAAATAAAAAAATATCATGTACAAAAACAAACTTATTTATTCATTATTATAGCTACGATAGCATGGTCATGTGTGGGGCTTCTATCGGGGAACATGTCAAAGACATCCTGTGTGAAACTTCTATCAGGGTACATGTCAAATATATCCTGTGTGAAACTTCTATCAGGGTACATGTCAAATATATCCTGTGTGGGGCCTCTACCGGGATACATATCAAATACATCATGTGTGGGGATTATATCGGGGTACATGTCAAATACATCCTGTGTGAGGATTCTATCGGGGTACATTCCAAACATATCTGTTTGTAGTTGGACCGTGCTTCTAACGGCATCATTTGTATTGCCACCTCACTTGAATGCTTCAGCACAGATACACCAACATCCACCCCGGACCAATTTATACTCCACCTCAGGCGTTGGAGTTGTGTATGACAATGACGTGATACTCACCGACAGGATGATCCTTTAACTGCACACGAAGATTCGTCGCACGGATTAACAAAGCAATATACTGTCGGTTTGTCTGGCGGACAATTAGGCTTGGCCGGGCGTGCGTTTAAATCTGGAAAATAATTGATCTAAGTTTAGTATCATTCTCGTTATATTTGTAATGAAATCAAAAGCGAAGTTTTATTCTGTTAGCAACTGTGCTGAATAAGTGGTTTAAAGAATAGATCCGTCAGTATGCAGCCAATCATTTGTACAGCGATCTATTTATAGAGCGAGTTTTAACAAACATGATAAGAATTTCGTAGTGTTATGATGTAACTTTGTATAATTTTGTGAGAAAAAAATCATCGATTCTCGAAAGTGTATCTGAGGAATACGTTCCGCTTATATCCTTGTAATGTTAATATCATCCTGCTTTAAATTTTGATATGGAAAAAAACATATATCGGTATGACATCCGTACATTAATAAATATTCGTTAATTACGATCAATCAATCAATAATGATTTTTGTAAGCTTCACATACAGTATACCATATTACAATATTATGAGAGATATTTTATAACCGTTAGAAAATATATATTACCCTGCCAGTTTGGGCTTATCTATACGTGCATTGTATACAACTACGGTACAGACAATTAAACTTTATCACCAGCAAAACAGACTATACAGTATACGTATGTGTGATTTGTAGATATGTTCCTTAAAATAAACCCACAGGAATCATATTTAAAAGTGTACATGTATACCTTATTTCGATCATGTAACATTATATATCAACTATTCGACATATCTTTTGTCTGTCAGCAAGTAATATACAATTTACTTGCCTCTTGATTATTCATAAAACAGTCTCTAAAATGCACAAATTCGCCTTGATGCGAGCATAGTACAATGATTTTGCAATAAGGCCAATTAAAGTCCTATTTTAGGTAACATTTGTTCACGTTAATGTTAACTAGAAAATATCTGCTTAATCAACTTGTGGCTTTCCTATGGTCTTGTATGTGTTTAATCAACTTTGCCATGAACTATTTTGTAGTCAAATGAAACAAACAATGTTATGAATTATTTATTTGTGAATCTTTTTCTTCCAATTAAAACTATACATGTAATTGCATCTTTCAGATGAGTTTAGAATAGTGCACTAACTGATACATGAATGATACAATGTATAATCTGAAACATCGTGACTAGAAACTCAATATCAACAGGAAAATTGATATAACATGGGTGTCTCAAATAGGAGAAACCGAAACAAGACCAAATAACAAATATTATCAAAGTGACAGCAATCAAGATTTATTGAGATATTGTATTAATGAATTAGCGCATATCCACATATATGCACGATATTAACACACAGAAATAGAAGTCTGTCAGTCGATGTAACGGAACAGGATGTAGTATGATAATATTAACAGTCCAAGAAAGGGGTACATTCACGGTTATTGACACACCCTTAAACAAAATATATAAAACAAGCATTCAATTTGTCTTTAAATGAGACATATAATCATTATTTATCGTTTAGAATATTAAAATACTGCATTTTCATATCAAGTATATTAGGTACTTTTTCAGTTTATAAACAATATCACTTACCCGAAAATAGGCATACAGTTACAAACACATTGATAAGAATGACTTTCTCCATTTTGATCTCAAAGCGATGACACTACATATAAACTAGGTGGGTACAAAGTACAGAGAATAGAGGTGATTGGAGAGTGGCTCACATGTAAATTGTAGCAACCAGGCTCAGTGAAAACATCTACAAACAGTATTATCTTTGCAGGCCTTATGAGGTGAACAAGTACAGCAAATATGCAAGGTGAATGAAAAACGATTTCCGATTGACAAAAAGTTGACATTGCTTTCACCACCTTAACTTGTAATGTACATATTTACACTGTAGCACAGGTTGATTGTGGTTGAAATATTTACTATACATAATTATGGGAGCATGATATTTGGAATAAACAATCTTTAAAGGCATAAGGACAAAATTGATAATGTAAGAAATATGTTACTATTTTGATAGTACAGTTTCTCAATTAGGCACGTATATGTTCACAACAAGTAATTACGTGTGCATTGGATCGCAATACTTACAACAATGTATGCTTATATCAGAAGAGTATGTACTGTTACATTACTGCTTACGACGATCAAGATTTTATCTTTGTTCTAAAGAAATAACACATTAAGTGTGATACGTCATGCCATTGTGCGATCACTCTCCAGTTGCATGATCTCAAATATCACGAATGACAAATAGCTATAATAGTGTTAACGATAGCTACATATACATAGCTTTACAATAACACTTAAAAATGGAGCTATAAAATATGAGCCGAGGATACTTCAAAAGAGCGGGAAATAGCATTACAAATCAATGATTATAAGCTTATCCTTACTTAAGTATTAATTAATACTAACAAAATACACAATCCATGAACACGGTAGATAACCTGCATCATCAAAGTATTCAAGCCGTCAAGTAATAAATATATCAACCAATGAAAAATAACTTCTGTCACTTCCTTTTACCACTACATTAGGAAGACATGCACATCGCCTTAACTTAAGCACTTAAATATGAATGAATGCCTATCATTTCTCTTTACTACAATGCGATATAATGCCCATCATTTTTTTGAACCATTTGTATATTCATCAACACTACAGTCTAAAACAATACTCATCGCTTCCTCCACCCCAACCAGAAATAATACCGTCATAAATACATGTCACTTTTCTAAACGATTTAATGTGAAATAGAATAAACAATATCTATGATTTCGTTTAATCACTTACATGTGAAATGATGAACATCAAATCTCCCATACATTACATTGCTATATAATGACAATCGCTGCCTTGTTACCACTTACATGTAGACGTGAAATAGTGCCCATCACTTAATGAACCACTGCAACATAAAATTATGCCAATCACTTCCTGAAACACTACAATATAAACAATGACTATCACTTCACTTAACACCTTCAATCTGAAATAATGTTCATCACTTCCCCCAACCACTTCAACATCACCCATTGCCCTTCGTCTCCCCTAGCTACTACAATTGGAAATAAACCCATTACCGGTAAACAAAAATGTAACAATCTGACAAACATAATAATTGAGCAGTTTATGCTTTATATTTTGTTGGTAGAAGTTACATGATTGTAAACAGGGAGTTCTGTGTATAATTGCAGTGCGTGTGTTAGACTAGAGTGTCTACTACGTGTTGATTAGCACGTTCAAATACGTGACTCAACAGGACTGCTTTAATTAATATTCTATCAATTAGGTTACATTCATGACTTTCTGAAAGGATATGCATTCATATTTTCTATGAACATTTTTATTTCACACCTATTTAACTCGGATACATATAGATCCTTAATACTCAATGCTTTGAAGTAAATATCAATTAGCTAATGTGCTTTTGAAATACCCCTGCCTGCCTAGCCATACCATTCCATATCAATTCATAATTGGTCACATATTTACCCAAGGAGGCAACAATTGGGATATCTGAAATGATTTTTCATATCAACACTAGAGTTTTTTTTATCAACAAAGGGTTCAGTTGATATCTCCAATAGAATGCAGATAGTTTCCTATCAATCCCCGTCAAAATATTAAATACAGACACAGTCAACTTTTATACCCCTTTGTGCGTTGATGTCATATCAAATATCGTCCGTTATGTGCCGTACTTATTGTGAAATCGACTGCCGTTGTCAATTTCCTTTCAACGCTAGCGTTTAGATTTGCTTGCATTTTTCACTCGCCATTTTCCATAAAATGTTATTCGGTTTTTAAAAAGGGAGGGTTCAGTTAATTGTTTGTATCGATTTGTATACATAGTGAATTGATCGTGATATGTCCATTATATATTCTTTGTTGTTATTTTATGGCAATTTCACGGATCGGTTGTAATAACGATAACAATGAATATATGGGAGAAAAGATCGGGAGATTAGATGGACAAGTGAAAACAGGACAGAGGGGCAGAGGAACGAATGAGAGATCTATTAGAATAAAAAAAACTGTGGATTTCTGGATGAATGCGAAAATAAGAGGACAGAATTAAAAATAGATGAGAGGGACGTGTAATGAATAGATAGGTGCATGGACAAACGAGTGCTTCGGAAGAAGGATAGACTGATAAATGGAGAAATACGAAGATGAATGAATTCTATGAATATAGAACAAATGGACACAAAACATGTATAGTATGAGTGACGAACGGACTGAAATCATAGGGAAGGACGTACCGATATATCAATAAAGCAAAACAAAATCATAGGTATTATTTCTCCTTGTAATGGTCAGGGCAAATTAATTTATTTCACATTAATATGTTTAGATGTACCGATATATCAATAAAGAGGAGAACGAAAGAACAAAAACATACATATATTGAGGAACGAATGGACTGATATATGTATATAGGGAAGACTAATGGACTGATATATCTATATAGGGGAGACTAATGGACTGATATATGTATATAGGAAAGACTAATGGACTGATATATGTATATAGGGAAGACTAATGGACTGATATATGTATACAGGGAAGACTAATGGACTGACATATGTATATAGGGAAGACTAATGGACTGATATATGTATATAGGGAAGACGAATGGACTGATATATGTATATAGGGAAGACTAAAAGACTGATATATGTATATAGGGAAGACTAATGGACTAATATATGTATATAGGGAAGACGAATGGACTGATATATGTATATAGGGAAGACTAATGGACTGATATATGTATATAGGGAAGACTAATGGACTGATATATGTATAAAGGGAAGAGAATTGACTGATACATGTAAATAGCGGTGGACGAATAAACTGATATTATGATATAGGGGAGGGCGAATGGAACATACATAGCCTACCGGGCTTTATTAAGTTTGTTATCAATAGCAATGTGTGTTATAGGACCATAACAACATTGGCTAAAACATGCTTTGCATCAATATTGTGATGTTTTGAATATTATTTAATGAATGTAACAGTAAGAACTGATAGAAAATCGTTTTATGTTTGTTTTAGTGCCGGACTATACTTGAAACTGCAGCGATGGGAAAATTCACGTGATTTCGCCGGTTCCATCAGTCGGACATTCAAGTGAACCTGGATGATTTTTTTTATCTTTTTAATGTCGTTTTAACTTTTTTAATGAACAGAAAGACAAGAAAATTTAGAATTAAACTGCGTTCATATGCATTATAAATGACCACTACATGACAGGAAAATGCAACATGAATCGCTAACGCTAATACGGTTCATGCACTCTTCCTTTGACTCAGTTAGCATTCATATTGCCTATGAACCGTATCTGAAAGCATTTTGATGCTTAAATAAGACAACAATTTACATTGTAAATATCACCTCTAAATTATAACAGAGTCCGTAATTAAGCGTCCAAATATAAACACAACGCGAAAAGCAACACCAGGATGAGAATAAGAAAAGAAAACAAAGGAAAACAAAACATCAAGAAAAATATACTACTTGAACTATCGACGTTTCTGGACAAACCTGGACCAATTTGATTGATGAATATACGATGTTAAAATCATCCAAAAGGCTCGTTTTACAAATAAACGGGTATTGTGGTAACTGTTTCCTAATAAAGACAAAATTATTCAGGGTAATCTATTCGAAACTGTAATAAAAGGTTAGCAATTAATTCATGCCATTTAAATGGGTGTGTCATGGAAAAGGATATTAAATTGTAGTATTGGCAGTTCATTAAATGGCCGCTGGAAATCTGTGTTGGTATCAATTTTATTGATAAAAGTCTATAGTTACATTGCCTAAGCCTCACCGAATCAAGTGTATATTTGAGCCGATGATATAAAATCAACAAACGGAATTTAGAAATCGAATGACATTAAATTGTAAAAACGTGTATGTCAAGTTTATCGTATTTTGTTTTATTTATTTAGAGTTAGGGTCAGGGTCACACATTTCATAATTGTCGTAATCTTATACCTGACCCGACATGTTTACAATGTAACATTGCGGGACAAGAGGAAAACAATCAACTACTTTAATTTGACACCCATTCGTTCACTCGCACGCCAAGCCAACCGACTTCACCCGAACTCTCCGTAAACATACCCACATACATGTAATTGTCTTTTTCCTCTACTCTTTCTCTTACGGTAATTTAGCAATGTTATAATGAAACGAATCAATTACAGTAAATACATAATTTGGGCTATTCAAATCACCCTGCGTCCGTGGTCCGTCGTCCGTCGTCCGTCGTCCGTCCTTAAACAATTCTTGTTATCGGTATTTCTCAAGAAGTACCAAAGGGATCTTTCTCAAATTTTATATGTAGGTTCCCCTTTGTCCTTAGCTGTGCAGGGCAACTTTCGAGACTGATCGGATAAACAACATGGCCGACAGGCAGCCATCTTGGATTTTGATAGTGAAAGTTTGTTATCGGTATTTCTCAAGAAGTACTGGAGGGATATTTCTCAATTTTTAGGTCACCTGAGACAAAGTCTCAAGTGACCTATTGCGAAACAATTTACATTTTCGACTTCTTCTCCAAAACCCCGAACCAATTTCAATGAAATTTTGCAGGGACCTTCCATGGACAAAGGTCAACAAAAAGAGTTGCCGGTTTAGTCCTAAGCCCCCAGGGGCCTGAGGGGCGGGGC